CCCAGTTGCCGGTAGGTGGTGATTGTGAAGAGGCGCAAACAACCCCTCTTGTCTCGGTTCGGCCAAGCTGCGTAAGCTCTTGAACGGCAGTTCATTTCGTCCAGGCTGTGCAGATCCTCTGGTCCGATCAAGTGGCTTTGCCCTCACATGCCTTCGCCAACCATTTAACGTCACTCAATTTTGCGCTGCTCCACCTCTTCAACCGGCCACTCGATCGGGATCTGAGTCAAGAATACCATCGGATGAGGAAACCGATCAGATGGCCCAGGTACCTCGCTCACAACCCAGTAATGAATGAGTTTACCATTCCTTCTGTCTGGGTCCATCTTCCCATACATCTGCCCTGTTTCCCAAATCGGTCATCTTCTGTCTCTGCCCCCAGTTTCAACTCGCCAAGGAAATACAACTCAGAGACATCCATTCACCTTTCCAACACACAAACTCACACGTGCAAAACGTACCTCTTTTTTAGATTATACACCCGCTCCCCCGTTCATCCTGCCTGCTGGCTTATCGTCTTTTGTGATCAGTGCCGTCTCCTCCTGCCTTTGCTCTCCCTTTCTTCCGCTGCGTCTCCGGTCCCGACCAAGAGACTGGCCAGCCCGGAACGCTATGCCCCCTGGCGCCGCAGACTCGAAGGTCTCTGGACTGTCGTCTTCACGATTTCCATCTGGACGACGGCCAAGTTCCCGGCCCAACCAAGACGACACGTCGAAGACCCCCACATCGATTGAGGCGGAAAAATGAAGGGATTGCCTATCGCGCGACTCTGATCGCTTTGTCACTGTGCGACGTTCGTCTTGTTGTCGAGACCTCTAAAGTTGCTTCACCACTTCGAGGCCTGAGACTACAAAACGCATGGATGTACGTGTATGTCTGCATCTGTACTCGTCTGTGCACATAAAGACCAGCACTTGTTTTGTCTAGTGGCTTTGAGCTTGTTGACCTCGATTTCATGTAATCACTTTATCCTCTCTCTTTGTCGCCCTCTGATGCCTATCTCGTCAGTATACGCGTGACCAAACGCAGACTGACCTCCCCATGGTACAGACCGTCTCTGGTGGGCCTGTTCTTTGTCCGGGCAACGGATGATCCTCACCGAGCACTAGGAAAATAAGCCGGTGATATGCCAACCTCTTCGCATGATGGGGTTACAGAAGCGATTGGAAGGACAAAAAAGGAGCTCAGAATCGTTTGGAAATATTTAGAACTATCAATATATCTTAACTATGAACTGGGTCATCCTAGGCTGCTTAAAATGATTTAAGAAGTGTAAGAAGTGTGCAATTTTTTCCACGTTGATAGGAATGCTTCTTAAAAAGCCAGTGAGTGCCCCATTGCCCTTATAATAATGACATTTAAAGCACTCTATAGTGAAATTGTAGGTAAAGATAGTAAAGCCAAAAATTCTACTTTTATTGGAATTAAGAAATGGAATGATCTAAGAAGGGATAGTGAGATTTTTCCCGCATTGATTTGTATGCTTTTTATGATACAAATGAAGTTCCCAGTACTTTACATCCATAGTTGGTAGGCTTTGAGACTATCGGCAGAACTTGAAGTGAACTTCAAAGAAAGCTAAACATTACCCATATCACAGTTTATAGTGGGATTGCCGCTGAAGCCTCTACAATCACAACGCTACTTGTATTATAATTAAGTAGGAATGTGAGACTATCGGGAAATCTTAAATAAGATCTTAATAATCTCAGATCATTTAAGATGATTTAAGCAACGTTTATTGCATTTTTTATACAATGAAATGAGCCCTCCTTATGCCATCAGCCAATTTCGTAATATCATATATTTATGATTGTTAAGTCTTAAGACCATCAGAAGATCTTGAATAAAAACATATTTTTAGTTTTATAGGCTGGGTTACGAGGTTACCAGTAGATAAGATTTCTGAGGGGCTTAC